TTCCCTGCTGCTGGCAGGGGGGTTGGGACTGGATGAGCTTTAAGGTCCCTTCCCACCCAAACTGTTCTATGAGTCTATGGACCACAGTCTACTCCTTCCTCTGCAACAGGGCTGCTGGCTCTGTCCCCTCAGGTGTTGTGTCACCTCCAACAGAGATTGTCTTTGGTCCTCTCAGGAAAACAACCCTCAGATCACGTCAGCCCAGGCAGTGAGTGCCTCAGCCCAAGGGACAGTGCCAGCCATGGCCATGTACCTCCTGGGTCCCACCAGCAATGTGCTCCTCAGCAGAGCCAGCACAATGCACAGGGGCAGCCCACAGCCCCACGGTCTCACCTGGAATGTGCAGGAGCGCAGCTGCAAACCCTCCTGGATGAACTGATCCACCTGGGCCTGGATATTGATCTTCTTCTCTTTGGTCAGTGAGGCGATGGGGAAGGACCGGACCACCACCTGCTCCCCCACTGGGCACAAGAATGGGAACAGGTCAGCCACATCCCACCACCTCAGCCCAGCACAGGGCCAGGCGCACACTGGACCATCCTTGGTGGCCATCACCACCAAGAGCCCCGTAGGACAAAGCACCCAGAAATTGGTGAGACATTCTACATCCAGCCCACGGCGACTTGTAGAATCACAGAATTGTTCTGGCTGGAAAAGACCTTTAAGGTCATTAAGTCCAACTAGATGCCTAGTAGATGATGACCAGGATGGACATGAGTAATTCATCATCTGCCAAAGGTGGACAGCAAGAGCAACCACCTCCTTTGTAGTACTGGGAGCAACCATCAAGCTTGTGGTGGCTGCAGCAGCCCCGAGTAAAGCCCAGTGCTGGCTGGACACTCACCCAAGGTGACCACCCAAGACCCTTATCACCAAGTCCTGCAGCAAGGTGAGCTGCAGCCACTGCTCCAGGAGAGCTACGAGCCACCTCCTCCCCGGGCACTACCCACCCCTGAAGGCAGGATACCAGATGTGGGGCACACCAGAACCCTACCCAGAGGGTCCGTGGGAGTGCCTTTGAAGATGATGCGGTAAGTGGTGAGGAAGATGGCTCCTTCTGCAGGGAGGAGAGGTGGGCCACCAATGTTCCCTCCAGCAGCTTCTTCCCGTCCATCAGGCATGAGGTACACGCGGAGCCCTTCCATCACACACTCCTCGCCCACCAGCAGGTTGGGACGCAGCAGTTTTGGCTACGGGGATGTACAATCAGAACTTCAGACCCATGTGGATGGTGGAAGGGGACCTGACAGCCCCACACAGCACCAGAACCTTCCCCCACTGCCCCTGGCCAGGTCCCTACCTTCTGGATGGGAGGAAGCCTCTTGCTCTCCCTGTGCACGGCATCCAGTGTCTCTATGTGCATCTGCACAATATCTGTGGACAAAGACAAAGCTAGAGACTGAGAGCAAAGTCCTGCCTGATGCACCACCCATCAGGGTGCCAACCCACCCTGCAGCACCTTCTCCTGGCCTTCCCACTGCTTCTAGCAGAACCATCTCCTGAGCAGACCCCCGAGATGATCGGGAAGGAGCCCCAGTGAGATCCCACAGCCGCCCATTCCCCGGCGCTGCCGCAACACGTCTCACCAGGGATCATGACGTGCAGCCCCTTGAGATGCTCGTTGGTGACTCCACTCTCCGTGCAGACCTTGTCCACGAAGCGGTTGATGAATCTCACCACGTAGTTGGCCACGTCGGAGCTCTCTGCGTCCTCAAACCCACTTTCTGTGTCGTAGCTCTCAGCCACGCTGCCGGCGATGCTGCCGTGCAGGAGCAGGGAAGAGTTAACCCAGAACATCTCTCCTCTGCTGTCACCTGTGCCACGTAGAGCCCAAGGGAGCTTCTACTCTTGAGATGAACCCAGCAGAACTTCCACCCTTACCACTGCAACCTGCAGCAACCCTGACAGCAGCTGAATGACCCAGATGTCCCAAGTACCTCACCCAGGAGCTTCCATCCCCAGTTCCAGTTGCTCTGGTCACAGAATCACTGAATCCCAGAGTGGTGGGGTTGGAAGGGACCTCTGGAGATCATCCAGTCCAACCCCCCTGCCAAAGCAGGTCCATCTCCAGCAGGTTGCACACGATGGTGTCCAGGCGGGGTTGGAATCCCCCA